ATAACAAAAAGCTTTTCGTAAGACACACCACCGTGGGCTCCTCCCCAGAGAGGGGTGGGGAGCCCGTCGGGGTGTTTTGGAAAAGCGGCTGGAGTGGTTCTGAAGCACAGCTCTGGCTAGGGGCGCTCTCAGGCTGTTTCCAGCTCCAAAGATTCGGCAGCGATTCTCTGCTGCCCACGTGGGCGCTGCTCGCTGGTGGAAAAATACCACCGCCTGAGCACCTGCTTCGGCCCTCTCCCTTAACCCCTGCAGCCTCAAACACTTCTAGGTCAGTTCCCTGATCTTCCAGCTCAGAAAGTCCCCCCAAACATCATCTCTTGTTACTAGCCTCTTCTGGGCTCCCCTTGTGCCCCCAGTCCCAGCTGCACTCATGTCTGGTCTGTCCCTGCAAGACCCCAGGATGGGCCTGCATTGCCTGGGTGCCCTGAGCCACAGTGCCTCGCACAGTGGAGGGACTGAAACATGGTAGCTGAATTGAATTGAATTGCAAATGAAAATATTGCCGAGGTCTCCAAGCTTTGTGATCCTGGGCAAATGACTTCCCCTTGGCTTCCTTCTCTGCGGAATGGAAGGGCAAGCCACGCTCCATAGAGCTGTGGGGCAGACGCAGTGAGATCATGACTTTGAAGGCCTTGCAAGTGCGTAGCAGAGCCAGACTCTCCCTGCCCTCACCCCAGGCTGCCCTCCTGCTGGACAGGGGCTGGCTGGTGACACATCTGTCTCCCAGAGAGCCCAGGAGCCAAAGGGAGGGGTTGTTGGCCAAATCATCTCCAGGCCCCAGGCCCCAGTGCCCAGAAAGGGCCAAGGAGAGAGAGAGGGACAGAGAGGGAAAGGTGGTGAGGAAGGTCTGGAGGGCCTGCTGGCAGTCCTAGTGTCCCCAGGGACCAGAGGGGTCAGGGTGGCTCTTTGTGGGCCCTCAGCTGGCAGATGGAGCCTAGAGGTGTCCACTCCAGCAGGACACACAGGCCATAGAGGCAAACACTTCCTCTCCAGGAAGCTGGTTTTGCCACGTGGGACTCCAACCTGAGTATTGAATGGCCTGCAGCCAGGAAAGAACAAGGGGCCAGTGGCAGCTCCCCAAAGCCCCCAGGACCAAGTTTCAGTTTTCAAGCCATTTGTAAGCTGAGCCTCCCCCACCTGTCCAGGGGCCACCCCAGCTGTTAAACTGCTCTGCACTCCCGAACGTGCTCTGTATCCTGCCTGTGCCCGGGACGTGTCCTCTGCCCGAATGCTCGCCCTGCTCCCTTCTCTACCCAGGCACCTTCGGTTCATTCTAGATCCAACTGCCATTATCATCTCCTTGGAGACTCTCCCAACGTCTCGAGAAAATTCCTCACACCTCCATGACCCCCTACCCCCTCATCTTTAGTCACACGCCAAATGTAGCAGGTACATATTCTCTCAGGGAATCCTAGCAATGCCCCTGCAAGGTGGATGCCATTGGCCCCATTTTACAGATTCAGATACTGAGGTTCAGAGTGGCTAAGTGCCTTGCCAAAATCCAGAGAAGACTGTGGAAGGTCTCTTCCATCTGCCCCAGATCTGGGGAGAAGGAGACTTGGTCGAGTGGGACAGGACACGGGAAAGTCACATTCAAGACCCCAGTCCCTGCAGACCGCCTAAGGCGAGACCTGGGTGCGGGTCCCGAGAACCAGGAGGCTCCCCATCTCCATAGCATATTGGAGCCCAAAGGGTCCCAGAGATGGCCCTTGGTCCCCTCTGCAGCCGGTGTGCAGGGAGGTGGGGAGCCACAGGTGTCACCTTCTCCCTCACTCCCATCGCCAGAGGACCGAGAGCTGGCAGCCTCCACCCCTTCCCCACCAAGCGCCTGCCTTCCTTTGCCCGTCTCTTCCTCAGTCTGGATCTCTTACTTGTCATTTGGTTTCACCCTCTCCCTCTGAGTGACTCTCTTTGCAGCCTCAAAGTGACCATCCCTGTCTCTCTGTCTCGGTCTCGGCCTCTCTCAGCCCTAGGTCTGTCCCAGGGGGTCCCTTTATCTCTGGGCCGTCTCTTCTTAACGTCAACCTGCCTTTCTCTCTGTCTCATCGTGTCTCCTCCTGTGTCTTTGACACCATCTCCAAATCTTGGTCCCTACCCCTGTCTCTGCCTCGTCACTACTCTGTTGCTGTTCTTGTCTCTCTGCCTCAGTCTACTGTCTGTCTCTGCCCTCTGTGTCTCTGCCTCTGTGTGCACCTTTGTCACAGTCCCTTTATGTCTGTCTCCCAGACTTTGCCACAGTCTGCCTGCCTCTCTCTCTATCTCCCGGTCACGGCCACTTTCTGAGTTTCTCTGTGTGTGTGTGTCCCTCAGTCTCTGGCTCTGCAGAGGGCAATGCCCCCTCCACAGTCCCCCCAGCCCTGGCCCAGCAGCAAGCCCTGCTTCTAAACTGGCTCCTGCGTAGGCGGTGGGAGACCCCCGGGCATCATTCCAGGGCTCACTCCGTCTGGGTGGCAGTGCTGACAGAGGAGATAGGCATCGGACCCGGCTCTGTCCGGGCCTGAGCAGGGGGCACAGCCAGGCGATGCGGGGGCGTCTGGGTGCCTGCAAATGTTCGCACGTGTGCACGTCTGGGTTTGTGTGCAGGTCTCCCTGGGTGGGGTGGTCTGGGTGTCTGTCTGGATATATTTGTGAGCATCTGGGCCTGTTTATGTCTGTCTGCGAGCGTTTGTGTGTGTCTTTGTGTGGGGCTGTCTGGGTGTGAGCACCTCAGCCTGGGGGTCTCCCCATCATCCATGAATGCCTCCGAGTGTACGTGTGTGTGCGTGTCTGTGGGCACAGAGATGGGTCCCTGGGAGTAGCTGCAGTCGCGGTGTATCTGTGCGTCTGTCCACAGGCCTCCCTGCTCACATTCTTTCAGTTATCAGTGATTCTATTACCCTATTTGACAGGTGGAAAAGTTGAGGCTCTTAATCCCATGCTTAGCTGTGTGACTATGTAGGTTTCTGCTTGACGTTGGGGTCTGGAGGCGAAAAGCCTTGATTCAAATCCTGCCTGACCCCAGGCGAGTTGTCTAACCTGAGACAATCCTGAATTTATTCAGAAAAAAAGTGTATTGATCGAAACCAGGTAAAATTACCCATGGTGCTAGAAGTTAGATTGGGGACTTGGGAGGGGTTCCCTGGGACGGGGCCCAAGGGAGCCCTGTGGGTGCTGTAATGTCTTACATCTTGGTTTGGGTGGGGGTCACATGGGCGTGCTCATTTGGAAAACATTATTCAAGCTGCTCACTTCAGATACGTGCCCTTTATGCACGCTATACATCAATATCAAAGTTTACAAAAAAGTTTATTGAATTCCTACTACTTGCCAGGCATTAAATAGCAATAACAACAATAGCAGTGCGTGTGTGTGTGTTTAACATTTTAGGAAGTGAGTCAGTCCAGGCTTTAAGCACTCGGTCCATTCCTATCCTCCTCCCACCCTTTCCCACCAATGATGGCAGATGGAAGGAAGGAGAGAGACCCCAGTCCTGGGCTGGACTGCTCCCCTGCCAAACTTTCCTGCCTGTTTCTCAAAGCAGCTGTGATGTTCCCTCCAGATTTTCCAGTTGATGAGCCACCAGGGGACATCTTGCTAGGTAGCTGCTGGCATTCAATGAAGCTGGGTAACAGAGTACTCTGCAGCAGGGCTCAGGGTGCGAAATGAGGGGTATAAGGTGCTCAGTGGCCCTGGCCAGTGTTGCTCAGTGGTAGAGCCTTAGCCTGCACCCTGAAGTGTCATTGGTGCAATTTCTGGTCAAGGGCACCTACCTGGGTTGCAGGTTCCATCCCCAGCCCTAGTCCGGACACATGCCAGAAGGCGACCAATCCATGTATGTATCTCTCTCTCTCTCTCTCTCTCTCTTTCTCTCTCTCTCTCTCACTCCCTCCCTCCCTCCCTCTTTTCCTCCCTCCCTGCCTTCCACTCTTTCTAAAACTAAATG